TGCTTGAATAATATCCACATCCTCTACTTGAATAATATCCACATCCTCTTGTTGTATATTATCCTCAATTACAGAATGTGGATTACATCCACACCCTGTAATTGTAAAACAATCATTTACATCCACACCCCATATTTGCACAGCGTATATCATCAGATTACACCACAACATGCCTAGATCTTACCTAAAGAGTGTTTCGGGAGTTCTACCCCGACCCCGGCCAGGGAACAGTCCAACACTGTTCCTTGGAGCAGACCGCAGGCCCGCGTATCCACTACAACCAGGTTGGTCCGGCACTTCATGGGGGAACCTATCTAATAGCCCTTGGAAAAAGTCAACCATCATTCCGGCAATATTTCTAATGCTAATGCTTGTTAGGAGAGTACTGAACAGCCACCTCTGATGTTTATACAATTCTCTCTTATTGTACCTATTGCACTTCTACTCCTCATTGGTTCCATTTTGCATTTCCTCCCTTAATTTTTGCTCCAGTATCTTGTTATTCTACTGTGCAAATTTGGAACCTAGCCTTCCAGTATCTTCATGTATATATTATTTTATCTCTTTCTCGTCTTCTTTCGAGAGTACATTTTGAAAGCTTTGAGACGGTCCCAATAATTTAGGTGACTTATTGCGTCTATGCGTACCGTATATGTATTCGCTCTATTTCAGAAATCTCTCCTGCTTTGAAAGGGAAAGTGAGTTCTGAGCAGTACTCAAGGCGGGACAGCACAAGTGATTTAAACAGAATTATCGTTGCTGTGGGATTTCTGGATTCTCATAATCCATCCTATCATTTAATGGCCGCCGCTATATTTGCTTGGTTATGTTTACTAAATGTCAGGTCGTCAGACATCATAATTCCCAGAATTTTTACATGTTCTTTTCCTTCTATGAGTAGGTCTGATTGCGTCTTGTTCCCTGTATTTCGTTTAAGCTCATCATTTCCACCATACCTAAGTACTTGGAAATTATCGCTGTTAAACACGTTATTTTCCGTGGCCTCAATCGAAGATTTGATTAACATCGGCTTGTCGTTTTTCAGTGTTTTTAGCATAGGAAATTTTCATGCTGATTTTTGTATCATCTGCAAAAGATGAATCGAAACTGTCAATTGTATTTTCGCTTATATCTGATATAAGAATAAGAAAAAAACACTGGTACAAGGACTGCGCCCTGGAATACGGAGTTTTTCGCTGCACTTGGACTGGGTCTTATTTGATTGACTGTTACTCTTTGCGTTCTGTTTGACAGAACATTTTAAATCCAACATTTTACCCGTTATTCCTATTGATCTCATGTTATGGGCTATAACTCAATGGTCACACTTATCAAATGCCTTTACAAAGTCTATCTATACAACATCTGCATATACATCTATGTATACAACATCTATACAATACTTAGTATTTGTATAGCGCATATCATCAGATTACACCACACCTTGTATTACATAGCGTATATAAGATTACATTCACACTACCCATATAAATTAAATAAAATTGAATCCATACACAGTAATTATAAAATGTGTAACAAAGGAATACATAAGATGTAAAATTGTTTGAGTATTCTTGTAGTTCACAAAGCATATAAGTTAACCTTTCTAGAATATGAAGTAGTCACAACCAGGTTACAAATAATCAGCTTTAAAACTGGAAATATATAATATAATGTAATTACATAACAAGTGTAAATAATTATGTAAAGTCGTAAGAAAGCAAATACGAAATGAATACATTCTTGACCTCAGAATAAAATTAACTTTCCAAATTATGAGAAATTTACATATAGCAGAATATCTGCTATAAATATAGATTACATTTATGAGTTTGTTTATGTTTTATATCATGACATCACAGTTCATATATATATATATATATATATATATATATATATATATATATATATATATATATATATATATATATATATATATATATATGTCGTACCTAGTAGCCAGAACGCACTTCTCAGCCTACTATGCAAGGCCCAATTTGCATAGTAAGCTAAGTTTTCACGAATTAATTGTTTTTCGACTACCTAACCTACCTAACCTAACCTAACCTAACTTTTTCGGCTACCTAACCTAACCTAACCTAACCTATAGAGATAGATTAGGTTAGGTTAGGTAGGGTTGGTCATATATCTACGTTAATTTTAACTCCAATAAAAAAAAATCGACCTCATACATAATGAAATGGATAGCTTTATCATTTCATAAGAGAAAAATTAGAGAAAATATATTAATTCATGAAAACTTGGCTTATTAGGCAAATCGGGCCTTGCATAGTAGGCTGAGAAGTGCGTTCTGGCTACTAGGTACGACATATATATATATATGTATATATATATATATATATATATATATATATATATATATATATATATACACACACAAATATACCAAAAGAATAGGGGTGGTAGAAGAAAATATCAAAGTGTTCAGTGAGGATCCACAAGGTCGTCTCTGGGTACTCATTTTTTTCTTCTCCGAGGCTATGGGTCCCTACACTTGCACCAGAGGTGGTACCAATTATATATATATATATATATATATATATATATATATATATATATATATATATATATATATATATATATATATATATATATATGTCGTACCTAGTAGCCAGAACTCACTTCTCAGCCTACTATTCAAGGCCCGATTTGCCTAACAAGCCAAGTTTTCCTGAATTAATATATTTACTATAATTTTTTTCTTATGAAATGATAAAGCAACCCTTTTCTCTATGTATGAGGTCAATTTTTTTTTATTGGAGTTAAAATTAACGTAGATATATGACCGAACCTAACCAACCCTACCTAACCTAACCTAACCTATATTTATAGGTAAGGTTAGGATAGGTAGCCAAAAAAAGCTAGGTTAGGTTAGGTTAGGTAGGTTAGGTAGACGAAAAAACATTAATTCATGAAAACTTGGCTTATTAGGCAAATCGGGCCTTGAATAGTAGGCTGAGAAGTGCGTTCTGGCTATTAGGTACGACATATATATATATATATATATATATATATATATATATATATATATATATATATATATATATATATGTCGTACCTAGTAGCCAGAACGCACTTCTCAGCCTACAATGCAAGGCCCGATTTGCCTAATAAGCCAAGTTTCATGAATTAATATATTTTCTCTATTTTTTTTCTTATGAAATGATAAAGCTACCCATTTCATTATGTATGAGGTCAATTTTTTTTAATTGGAGTTAACATTAACGTAGCTATATGACCGAACCTAACCAACCCTACTTAACCTAACCTAACCTATCTTTATAGGTTAGGTTAGGTTAGGTAGCCGAAAAAGTTAAGTTAGGTTAGGTTAGGTAGTCGAAAAACAATTAATTCATGAATACTTGGCTTATTAGGCAAATCGGGCCTTGCATAGTAGGCTGAGAAGTGCGTTCTGGCTACTAGGTACGACATATATATATATATATATATATATATATATATATATATATATATATATATATATATATATATATATATATTCTGTTTCAGACTCAAACATAGTTACACCAACATCTTTGATCATACTTCTCAGATTACAAGCGTCAATTAATTATCAAAATAAAGCATTAGGCTAGAATGGCAAGAGATTACCGCATGTGTTGCAGAAGACTCAAGAGTTCGTAAAAACCATTCAGAATTCCAATACCAGAGTAGGCATATAGTCCGAGCTAATTCAGAGTTTCAGATTTACCGATGATCTGATTAAAGGACAAATGACTCAAAGGAACAAAATGATTTTTGAGGTGTAACTCCATACTTCTGTCCGTTCCATCCATAGTCACTGCTCTAATTTTTGGGTAATAGGTAAGCGAATTACAATCATATTGAATATCACAACATTTTACGATGGGAAAAAGGTCACTGAATGTGAAATTGGTACAAGAGATATATATGTCAGAATAACATGAAACCTGCAGAAACAAAACCTATTTTACCATTATTCCCCCATTATTTCTGCATCTACAAGATGCAGAAATTTTAGTATATTTCAGTTTCAGATTTCTGCCCATTTCTTTAAAGCATCACTAAACGTAGGGTTAAACCCTGCCTAAAATGTCCGTGTCTTATACTTCCGTTATTAAATACGGGCAGCGTCGCATGGGGCCAGTACGAGCTGCCTCGCATGGGGCCAGTACGAGCTGCCTCGCATGGGGCCAGTACGAGCTGCCTCGCATGGGGCCAGTACGAGCTGCCTCGCATGGGGCCAGTACGAGCTGCCTCGCATGGGGCCAGTACGAGCTGCCTCGCATGGCGCCAGTACGAGCTGCCTCGCATGGGGCCAGTACGAGCTGCCTCGCATGAGGCCAGTACGAGCTGCCTCGCATGGGTCAAAAGCGCGCATACAGTTTTCTTGTAATTGTGGTCATATTTAGCAAATTACCCATAATATTGTCTTCTTGAGTCATTGATGACACCTGACCATAAACATCTTATTAAATCAATTGCATATAATTCTCTCACTAGAACTCAGCCTTCAGGAACTCCTAAGAAATAATTTTAAGATAAATTCAGGCGGAGCAGATCGCCATGCAGAAATATTATACAATTAAAAAAAATGTTAGCGAATCATTTAGAACCGGGTAAATATAATTGGCCTTGTTAATACAATTGGTAATACAGTATACGGATTTTTTCGGGGGTGGGGGTGGGGGATTCAAAGTGACTAGGTTTTTTTTTGTTTGCTAACCGGGGCATAACAAAACACCTGTACTGTGAACACCTGTAAGAACTTGGTGGTCATGTGCACCGGAAGTGGTTCTGCAAGATGAACATAGCGTCGGTGCCCCCACATATGTAGTATGTCCCCACATATTTCGTATCAGGCACCGTGTTGTTGGGGAGCCGGTCGGCCGAGCGGACAGCACGCTGGACTTGTGATCCTGTGGTCCTGGGTTCGATTCCAGGCGCCGGCGAGAAACAATGGGCAGAGTTTCTTTCACCCTATGCCCCTGTTACCTAGCAGTAAAATAGGTACCTGGGAGTTAGTCAGCTGTCACGGGCTGCTTCCTGGGGGTGGAGGCCTGGTTGAGGACCGGGCCGCGGGGACACTAAAAGCCCCGAAATCATCTCAAGATAAGATAACCGTGTAATATAGAATTATACAGCTGATAGGACTAGGCTTATTTTTGTAAGCCTTCGGTCCACCACCCCCACTCCCCTTCTTCCCCCCTTTTAGAGGGGATTTTTAGGCTTCCTCCCCCCTTTTAGAGGGATTTTTAGGCTTCCTCTCCCCTTTTTACAGGGGATTTTTAGGCTTCATCCCCAATCACGGTTAACATCACATATTTTTTACAAGTCTACATTCCTCATTAAAAATAAATCTGAATATAAAAACACTACTTTCAGGCTACAGACACTTCTCTAGAGCACAACCTTCAATTGACTTTGTAATTACAGAGTATACATAGTATACATAGTATAGCAATGGATTAATGTTATTAACAAAATACATAACACTTGCACTATGTTATGTATTGTTCCATGTTGGCTCTCCTCAGTTTAATCACCTGTCCAGAGGAGTTCCATGTTTAATGTGAACACCTTTCTTCTGTTTAACTATTATGTACATTGAGTAGAATAAAAATGCGTGGTACACAGGTCCACATGACTACAGCTACATGGTCCACATGGCTACAGCTACATGGAACACACGGCTACAGCTGCATGGTACCCACAACTACAGCAGCAGCATGGTTCACATAGTTACAGCAGCACGGTACAAATGATTACACCTACATGGTACACATAGCTACAGCTGTGCCACATAACCAATCACAATGTAGAGGTATAATATAATTCAATCACAATCATGTTTAATTGTAATCCAATATTTTAAGTGCAAGTGTTTTTCTAAAGTGACTTAGACACAATGTCTCTGACACGTTACAGACATCAGGACACAGTGCCACTTACACTCTAAACACTATTAAAACAATCACATATGTAATGACAAAATAAAAGTCAGTGTTTGTAGAATAAACTTAATATACAAACTGTTATTCACTGAAGTCGCGAAATTGGCAAGGAAAACTAGGCTAATGCAGAGTAATAGAGCTTATGTGAGGATATAATACAAATATTCACTGTTATCAACATGAAAAATAAGGTATTCTCCATGATATCAACTTAAGAGAGGTCTCCATGATATCAACTTAAGAGAGGTCTCCATGATATCAACTTAAGAGAGGTCTATATTCAGAATGCCCCATTTGGCGTTTCAATAAGTCCCGGCGACATTAAAATACTGTACGTTAATGTTACCAAAAAATTAACACAAAGACTTTGGTATTATTGAAGTTTCAAAACATGATAATTCACCAGTGATTGGTCTTTAAATGTTAATGAACAAATCATATATTTCTCCTACGAGTAACTCGAAGCATAAGAATACAACTATTGTTGAGAAGGGGTTTGAAGGCAATAATACAACTTGTTCCTTGAGTTTGTGAGGGCTTCGGTAATTCAGTTGTTATTGATTATCTGGTTTAGATACACATAGAAATGTGTATAAATAAACCCGTAATGGGATCTCTGCGCACGTCACTGCTTGTAGGGCACAGTGAAGCAAACCATGTGTCAAGCACTGTTTCTATTTTCATGTGGCCATGTTCTTCATGAAGTCACCTGCCGATGTGTACCTGTAAAATAAGTCACATATTAGAAGAACTTTGTTATGAAAGTTTCATGTGTACAAATATTATAATTATTAATTCATTGTATCTGGGGACCGGTAGCCAGAGTGTCAATGAGCAGGCATTATGAACTGGAAATTGATGTCAAAAGTTGTCATCTTGACCTGAAGGCAATACGCACGAACTGTTAGAAGCAGAAACAGGAAACGGGAAACAGCAGAAAGCCTATTAGAATCTGTTCTCATTTATACCCACCCACATTCGTTCATATATGTTTAACCTACACCTGAAACAATCCAGTAATAAAACGTTTATTATTTTTTGTTCCATAAATCAACAGATCTATTTTCAAACCAGAATGTATGAATTATCAAAAGACGGCACCAAGCCGGAAAGAGAATTTATGAAAGAATTGTCTGATTCTAAAACCTATTCTATTTAGCAAATGTTTCATGTTCAATTCTCGGTTATATTTAGTACTCTATTAATATCTAATATCCTCCCTATTATATTTATTATAAACATTTGCATGAGAAGGTAACCAGGATCAACCATTAAGGTGGGAAAACATCTAGGTAATGGTTAGAGGAAGCAACAGCAGATTCAGAAGCGACGGTAAATTTTAAGATATGTTTGTGTTTAAACTAATGGGAAATAGAGGTTTGATTATGCAGCCTTCTCGGAGGACAGTTGAATATGTAATGCAGTGATGAATGAACTGCACGACGTTCAATAATACAATGGTGGGTTGGAGTAATACAACAGAGGATGGGAGTAATACAACAGAGGATGGGAGTAATATAACAGTGGATTCAAGTGGCACAAGTGGGTGGGAGTAATAAAGTAGTGAGTGGGGGTAATATAGCATCGGGGGGAGTGATATTAAGTGGGTGGCAGTAATAAAATAGTCGGTGGGCTGTAAGTGACGAATCTCCAGATTCTGAGCCCCCCTCCAAGTGTAAACTATGTGATCAGGGCTCATGATCTTACACACACTTCAGACCTACCGGAATGAGGCACTCGGAGCTTTGCAATTGCGTTATCCACGCTCATGTTCTTGAAGATATCCTCGTAATGCATTCAAAGTTTTCCAGTATAGTACGGGCTATTTATCACCTGGCCATGTATGACTATCTTGCGGGATGGGGATTTTATGTATCACATAGCTCTTCACACAAATTATGTAACCCTTCACATAATCTATGGTAGCTGCATAAATAACCGATTACTTGCGCTAAAAAATGAAGCTGGTAGGCACCCAAAATTTTTAAATTATGTCTCCTCTCGCCTTCACAGGTAAATGTATAATACTGTATTTTTTTTCTCAATATTCCCCCTCCATTCTCGGTCTCTTTAGCTTTTCATATTCTCCCTTGTAAATGCAACGAATATATAATCTATACAATATATTACCCTGAGCTTAGTTTTAAGGGTACACATATATATTACCTTCAGAGTAACCGAAGTGATTAAAATTCTACTCGTCTTCGAATCGGGTCCATCCAGTTCTGAGACTTGTGGTGCCAGACTGGGCTTCTGAGGAAGCGCTGTCATCTGCTGCAGGTTCGTTTGTAGAGTTAGAGTCGGGGAGGGGTGACTCTACACTCTTGCAGCCGTCTTCTGCTGAGCCTTCCTCAGTTTTGGAGCTCGGTTGTGTTGTTAATGAAGTCTCGACAAACGTCGGGCTGAAGTCCGGTTGTGGCGGATCAGATTTCTTGATTTCTTTCATTTCTTCCTGTGACGGAGAAGTGTCTTCGGTATTCACTCGTTCTGAACGCATTTCACTCAAAAGCCTCTGCAAACGTTCAACTTCGGAGTATGGAGGCGGTGAAGCGCTTTGATTTACGTCATTATAAGCTGGAGGGAGGTCTCGTTGCTGCTGCTGCTGCTGCCGCTGCTGATTGGTGTAGACAAGCGGTACGCCGCTTTCAGATTCAGGTAAGGGAATTCCTCGGGCAATACTGACTCTCCTCACGTACTGCAGCGCTATCTTCCTTGGGTTCCAGATGAACTTGAGACACCACAATAGTCCCAAAAGAGGGATGAACAGTGCAACAAATCCCAGGAAATCGTGGCTAATAAACTTGGGGCTACTAGTATGTGTACTAACATGAGTATTCATATATTTCTTTTCCTTTGCAGATAATGTTTCTATGAAATCAAGTTTACTTATAATTGTATCAATATTTAGTTCAGATTCGTTTCTCTTTTTAGTTCCCATGACCAGGGCGGCCACTAGTGTCGAGGAATAGCTACTGAGGATAGTGTCAGTGCTACTGAAAGTTAGAGTAAAAGTCTTTTCTTTACACGTTCTAGCAGCTTTCCATTTGCGCTGTATAAGATGCATTTTTCTGCCGTTTAGTTTGATCCAAAAGCTGATCTCAGTGGTGTAGAGACTAATCTCGTACCACTGCCGCCTACTGCTGTCTTGTAACTCTGGATTTTTTCCCGAAGATTGACTTGCATTCACAGCGTAATATTCATTTATCCAGCATCCTTGCTTGCGAGACCTCACAGTAAATTTCATATAATCCCGATCATTGTGGCAGAGAATAATTTCCGACTCGTTCAATCTGACGGTTCTGCCACTTATGGGGTACAGCTGTGGCATAGAAACTGCCCAGTGGAAACCAGATAATAATATCATTACCGGTAAGAAATACCCAGACGTAAGCCTTAGGCACGTTGCCCCCCTCGGGCCGACGTGACACTGACCAGCACCCATCACTCGAGTATCTACGCTCCTTAGCTTGGAGTTCTCTCGATTGAGAACACCAAAATACGGGGCCCTCACTTCCGCTAAATATCACTACTAAAGATGATCTGCACTACCGCTCTGCAGGCGAGCCAATATCCAGCAACGACAACGTCGCCACCCGGGCTCCCGCCATGGCCAGACTACGAGCGCATGTGCATTTAAGCATTTAAAACAAAAAGGTCTATGCAATCCGGTGTCATACAGATGTGTATCTATCTCTTAAAATTATACACACATCATTCTTACATATCAAGGTAGACTTGTCCAAAGCAAGGCTCACTATCCTTGGAAGTTTATCCGGATTACGAGATCTGGCATCTGCCGACGCTGACGTCAATAGCATGTGATGCAAAGTTTAGCATAAAGTCAGGAAGCGTTTGTTTTATGGCGGTTTTTTTGAGAGCTTAGACTAATTTACACAAAATTAACGAATATAGTTGTGAGGTGTTTCAGGAGATCCATACTCTTATGTCTTAAGAATCATGATAACGTAATCATTTTAAGCAAATAAGTTTCGAACGAGGATATTTTAATACGTAAACATAAGCCTATAAGTGCTACGTTAGGGCTTAGGTTAGGTTAGACCTAGATAATGTTATCATCCATGTCATTTTGTTGCAGCCGTATTATTATTATTATTATTATGTCTTGTGCTAATAGAATAATTTGAGTACCGTTTAGCGAGCATAAACTATATGCTAGGCAACTGCCGGTCTCTGTACTCTCTCTAGTAAGTACTATGTCTACTATGTAAGTTCCATAGTACTTACATTAATCAGGGTATTAGACTACTCAGTAGTCTAATACTACCCAGTGTTAGACTAGCCAGTAGTCTAATACTACCCAGTGTTAGACTACCCTATAGTCTAATACTACCCAGTGTTAGACTAGCCAGTAGTCTAATACTACCCAGTGTTAGACTACCCTATAGTCTAATACTACCCAGTGTTAGACTAACACATATCAGGTCGCCCTTCATTGCTCCTGCGTATGAAATCACCTATTTACATATTATACATTTACATACTCTAGTATATACAAATACAATGAAATTACCGAAAAAATATTTTTTTTTTACATTAAATGCACTCCAGATTTTCATGAAGCACTTATACATTTATTTACGAAATCTGTACATCTTTCCTTAATCATGGCAACTTTTTCTACATTCGTTAAATATTTTACGAGCTTGGAGTATTGTTATAAACAACCTCGTAGTGCTTCCAAGTTCATAAGCTGTCTAATAAATATAAACAATGCCTCCATGAGTGTTGAAAGATGTACAGGCTTCGTAACAAGTTGCGTAAACATTAGAAAACTCGCGGGACAATTTTTTTCACAGTGGGGTAAACAACCATAACATTAAATACATTCTTAACGGGACCGTTAAGCTAAAAAAAAAAAAAAAGATGACCGGTGACAGTTAGGCAATCTTGGTTTAACTTGTCCCACGGTCCAGTTAGTTGTACCAGTTTTAATTATTACTATTATGCCTGAAGCTCTTACATTCTTAAGTGTCTGCTCTCTCTCTCTCCCCCTGAGGGTGTGTTCTCCAGCCCCTCTCCAGGGTGTGTTCTCCCTTTGTCTCATCAAGGAGTGCTCGCTTCCCCTCTCTGCCTCGCTAGGGTGTGCCTTCTGTTTCCTTTCAGTCTGTAACGCTTCCTGCCCGTCACGTGAACAATTGGAACCCTTAGATCTTTCTTTCTTTCACCCATCCACATCTCAGACATATGTGCTAATAAATACCCCCAGACTCCTAGAATCCGCCACTTAGACTGGTCAGTACAACAAACGCCTCGTTTCTTGCAGGTCGGCGTTCGATCTCCAATGGTTCAAGTGGTTGGCCATGGTTCCCTCAATGTCCCTCTATCCTAGATTCTATCCTGAACTCCTATTCCTTTTATATGTCATGTAGTCATCCTGGGTTAGAGCTGTCCAGTGCTGTTACTATGGCGGTTTGTTTACTCACAGGATGAGTGGCGCATCCCATTAAACTTCATCTCCGGGACAAATAAAATAAAAAAATTGCGATAGATGAGCGATATCTGTAATTTTAGTGTTGATAATATTTTTTTAACGTAAAAAATAGGTACTAACATTGCAATAAGGCTGAAAAGGAATGCATTATATATTAGGAACGAGAATTTCTGAGTTGCAAATTGGATAAGAAATTGAGATAGAGTGCATTGATGAGACGCATCCTAATGATACAATCTACTGCGAAAAAATTATAAACAATAACACTAATTCATTGCAAACAAATCTCGCAGCTGGGATACACACTTACCCGACGCAAGACAGTTGAAAATCACACTACTCTTCCTCTCGCAATGGCCTGAAGGCATACTGCGACTTCAGGACGCGAGGTGAAGCCAACACTCGGACCAGAGGGGAGGAACTGCTCCCAGAGGCTTGCGAATCCAGCGGAGCCTCAGTGACGAGAGAGGAAACTGTGGTAAACTCAGTGATGCTATGGTCCTCTTTTGCCTCCTCCTCGGGGTTGCGGTTTCTCGATGGCGTATCTTCTGTGGGAGTCGAATCTGTTTTGATTTCAGAGCAGACTGGAGGTATGAGTTCATTCTGAATGTCCGAGTATGCTGGCGGGAGATCCATGGATGGACTGGTGGGGAGCTCGTTGACAACGTCTGCATATGACGGTGGGGGATCAAGATGTTCCTGCGGTGTCTCCTCAAGGTCAGCACCCGCCATGAGGTCTGTTGGGTGAATGTTTCTAATGACTGTAACAGCTGCGAGGCGTCGCACTCTATCCCTAGGGCGTCGAAGACACACACGGAACCAAAGGCTAATTATAAAAGCAAGAACACCTACTAATATAAGCGTAAAGGTTTCCCCGCTGAAGTTAATGTAGCGGTAGTCATTGTCTCTGGTCGAGTAGTCGATGTCATCCTCATACGAGGGAGGAGGGCTGTAAGTTGCAAAAGCAAAATTATCATCATTTAAGCCACTAAACAGTTTATCAAGATCGGTCTTCGTTTGGAAAGGTTCTAGCGCAAGGCCGCCAAGGTCAGGTTGACGATCAAGCTTGGGTAGTGTGAAGACGCCAAAGTCATCCTTATGATCAAGACTGGGAAATGTGAGGCTGCCAAGATCAGGATGACGATTAGGACCTAAGGCCACCTCGACCGATGGTGCATAGATCACTGACAAACATAGATCTTGAGACAGAGCGAGTTTACCTTCTTTGCAACCCCTGCCCAAGACTGTAGACCTATCAAAGCTGAATTCAATTTCATTTAAATCACAAATATTTGGCTTATTTGTATATTTTAGTTTCAGATGGATGAGCTTGAATCCAATTTTCACGAAAACCTTACCACAATTAATCAAACTCATTTCGTGCCAATGTCTATGTTTATTTGCCTCATGGAAAGCCACGCGGCCTGTAGTCACTTCAGTCATGTTTACTGAATACATAGTGGACACGCCACACGACGGAGCCGTCATTGTGATCTGCAGCGTTTGGGCATCAGTGCGGAAGAATACCGTACCCGGGGCCTTGAGTGTGGCCACACTCTCCGGTATGTGACACACTTGTAACGCGGAGGCGAGCTGGCCCACAGCAGCAGCAGCAGACACCAGCAGCAGCAGAATCAGCTGCGGATGGGGAAGCGAGCCCTTCATCTTTTAGGGGGCTCCCCTGTCTAGATCCTCCAAGGGCTAGTTATACTCCTGTAACAGTCCGCAAGCTTCCCCAGATTATCAGCGCAGCCTCAGAAGTGTGTATTAGTCCCGGCCTGTAGTTTACCGCTTGACACAGGGAAGCACAACCACAACAAACACTCCCGTAAACTCTCAACATGTGCAACTGGGTAGGTTGTAGACAGCTGTGGGTGGCCTCGCCAGATGAGTTGTTGAGTCGTATATTTTCTTCTGAATTTGTGTACAAACGTCCAGGTTTATAATTAGTTATTCATATGAAAATTGTGCTTATTGATATAAATATTTTTAGAATAGTTATAACATATATGGTGAAAAGATTTATATACAAAAACACATATTACAGGCAAGAAAAGGATGGCATCTGGTGTGTGACGTCAACACTACCCACCCTGAGGGTTGCGACGTTCTTGTCGCGAATTCGGATTTGTAAACATAACTCTTCCCCGACTCCTAATCCTCATTACTCGCTCTAAATAACGTGCAATTAAGCTAACATGTTTGTTTCTGAGGCCAGAAAGAGAGATACTTATGTATGACACTGTCAGACCACGAAGGAAGGATTAAGACAGGAATTTTCTTAAGTACCTTCGTATTTAATAGAGCATCTTTAACAGGATCCTTCTGAAGATGTATTATTAAATACGAAAGTACTTAAGGAAATTCCTGTCTTAATCCTTCCTTCGTGGTCTGAAATTGTTACATTTTTCATCACGTGTTAATTTCTTCATGATTTACACACATACTTAGGTATATCTATTAAAGGAATTGGGATCAAAACAGTCCGGATCACGTTAGATAATTTCTTTTCTTGGGGGACAGGAAGCCTGTGTGTGTGAATATATATATATATATATATATATATATATATATATATATATATATATATATATATATATATATATATATATATATATATTGATATATATATATATTGAAATGGGGGGACAAATTGATCAGCGCTGCAAAAGATCAGAGAGCAAAAAGTTTCTTGTTCCAGCGCCTCAGTGTTGTGATTCAGAGGGGAAATGCCTGTTGCGTCTTGGGCACTAGTCCAACTTCAGAGGAATTCGAAGAAGTGTTTGACTTGCAACAATGATCGAACCCGTCTGTGACATTCATCAATGTTTCCCATTGTCGTGTTTTTCAAGAGATCCATAACCTTTAAGCACCTTTTTGTATTATTATTTTTGTATCAACCCATGTATATCTTGTAACCATCAAATATATATATATATATATATATATATATATATACACATACACTTTAGACTTGTATCGAGTTTCTCCAAGGTCGAACTGCTGACCTTTCCCCAAGATGCAACCCCACAACCGTTACCTAACATCTCGGTACCTAGTACCTGCTAGGTGAACAGATGCATCACGTGAAAGGAAACATGCCTAACCATTGTTGTGCCTCCTGGGAATCGAACCCGGGATCCTCAAACATGAAGGTCTAGCTCCTATAGAACATTAAAATCAAACAAATCTTAAAAAAAATCAGAATTTTAAGATTTTGAAGATAGTAGTTTAAACGGGAACTTTAGAAGATCTATAGCCTATGACCTATATCAAGCAAAACACTTTGTATGGAGCTAAGTAACAAAATCAGTAGAGTTGTTGATGTTGTCTCAGTTTAAATGCGACTTATAGATACGAAAATACTATAGGAAATTTACATTTGAGTT